GTGTTAAACTGGTCCCCTGTCCTCAGGCCTGGGCTGTACGTGCTGTTTCTCGCTGAGGGCTGAGCAGGTGCTGCTCATGAGCCGCGGGCTGACGGATCGCGGGGCGGGTGACACACCCCCTGCCCCTGCCCTCCTTGCCCACAAGGGGAACGAGTGGCAAACTGCATGGTGAGGAGGTGGAACTGGCCGCGTTCACTAACCGAGATCCACAACTCCCCCCCCCCCTCCTTCTCCGTCATCCTTCCCAGGATCCTCTTCTGGACGGACTGGGACGCCAGCCAGCCGCGGATCGAGGCGGCCTCCATGAGCGGCGAGGGCCGGCGCACCATCCACAAGGAGACGAGCAACGGCGGCTGGCCCAACGGGCTGACTGTGGACTACCTGGAGCTCCGCATCCTCTGGATCGACGCCAGGTCAGCACCAGCGCCAGCGCCTGGGCTTTCCAGGCCCTGTCCTCTCTGCTCGGAAGCCCGGATCCGTTCCCCCTAGTTTTCAAGTGAAGATAACAGTCAGCAGCTTGATTCCTATTCTTCCTGTTATATCTATGTGTCTTTCCTGCAAGCAGCGGCCTGAGGTTCGACGGGAGAACCCATGTGCAGGGCAGAATTAGCAACCGAGTAGGCAGCAGGAGGCAGGCCAAGCGCAGCTCGGAGTCGGAGTCTGAGAGCATAGCAGAGCTCGTAGCCAGGTTGCAGGTAGATACGGCGAAAGCATAGGTGAACGCAGTCCAGAATCAAAGTCATGAACGAACGAGGGCTGAAACCAGGAGACGTAATACAAAAGGTAAGTCCAAAGCCGGGTGTGAGACATGAGATCCAGGTTCGTAGTCGAGTAGAACAGAAGGGACTCCGCAGCCAAGGTCAGAGCGAAGAGAGAAACACAGGCAAGGGAGACAAAGTAAGAGAGTAAGGCAGTGGATCAGAGCAGAAGTCTGTAACGGAGCCAAGAGCACTGCCAGAGCAGGCCTTGCAAGACAGGTGGACCAGGCGTCCTGTCTGATCGTGTAATCACGGCAGCTGACACAACGCTAGCTTGCTTCACATCCCTCCGGCGGGGGCGAGCAGGACAGCATTGGAGCTGTCTGAATTTCTGTGGCATCAGTTGTGATTTCTTGGCCTCCCTCTGAACCTCCAGGTCGGATGCGATCTACTCGGCGCAGTACGACGGGACGGGGCTGATCGAGGTGCTGCGGGGCCACGAGTACCTCTCGCACCCCTTCGCCGTCACCATGTACGGGGGGGAGGTGTACTGGACAGACTGGAGGACCAACACCCTGGCCAAGGCCAACAAGTGGACGGGCCACAACGTCACCGTGGTCCAGAGAACCAACACGCAGCCCTTTGACCTGCAGGTCTACCACCCCTCCAGGCAGCCTGAAGGTAGGACAGTCCCTGTCTGGTCCTTTGTCTGATTTCAACCTGTCCATTTGGAGTCATGGGGGAGCCAAAGCCCATTCCAGCAAGCAGTGGCTGCAAGGCAGGTTACACCCTGGACAGGACGCCAGTCCATTGCAGGACACGGACTCAAACACACACACACTCACACCAGGGCCAGTCTTCCCAGAAGCCAATTAACCTGCCAGCATGTCTTTGGACTGTGGGAGGAAACCGGAGCACCTGTAGGAAACCCACACAAACCCAGGGAGAACATGCAAACTCCACGCAGACAGGACCCCGGCTCGGAGATGCTGCAATGCTATCCACTGCGCCACCACGCCGCTCTCGGACGATTCAAATCCTCTTTAATTCCAACCAGTGCGGCATTTGCGAAGGACAGCCAGTCTCGATTTACAGAGAGGAGATAACAGTGGCCTTGTAGGTCACTTTTTGGACACGTAACCACTGAACAGCAGTGAGAACCCTGGAGTAGAGAAGGGTGAATGGGAAATGGGTGGAACAGGGCATTGTGAAAGCAAGACTTTTGGTGTCTGTTTTTTTTTTTTGTTCCTTCCCATTCGGATACTGTTATGCAGAGCATGAAAAGTCAGTCGTCAGCCCAGTGCAGTAGTGAGAGCTGTGGGCGGCGCAGCCTGTCCTGGTCTCTGTCACTAATCTGCTGAGACACCCCGGTACCCACCAGGGGGAAGCAGGGAACGAGGAGATGTGGTGATTGACAGCCCGCCCCCCCTCACCCTGTCAACAACAGTGAAGCTAACCACAGCTGACAGCTCCCGTCAGAACCATTAGGCCTCAGATCTCTGGCTGCTAAACGGCTCCTGTTTATTTAGAACTTCTCCCTCCTAATACGCACGCAGCATTTTTAATTTTTAATGGGATCGGAAGAGTGTTAAATCACATTAGTGGAGAGTCTCCGAGCTTGACGTCAGAAATGACCGATTGTGTTTTCAAAAGCACATCTTTCTTCAGTGTACGTTAGTGAGAGAGAGCACTGAGGCAGGGAAAACGAGGGAGCTGGTCAGAATGCCACATGCCTCATCACCCTGGCTGGTTTATTTTATGTTTTACTTCGGCAACAATTTATAATGCCCAGTTTGGATCCTGCAGTTCTTTCTTATGGATCATTTTCAGCAGAGGCAGCCCAAATCTCATCTCTTCCAGGCCATTCCCGCATTCCTATTTGTGTGGTAATTGATTGTGTTTTTGTAATTGTACAGCACTGTTAAAGACCCACATAACCAGTGCTAGCATGTAAGTAAGCCCTGCTGTATCTGTGGGGCTCTGCCATACTGACTGATCGAGGGTCCTGTGGCCTGGCAGCCTGTCAAAACAAGCAGGGAAGTGCTGTCCAGGGTGTCATAACAATCTTCCAGATACTGTGCTGGAGGGCGTCAGTCAAACTTCTGCTACTGTAGGCCCTGTGACAGGAACCATCTACAGTGTTTGTGTCTCAGGGTGCACTCTTCAGTGCAGTGGCCGTGATCTGCATTAGTTTCATTGGTTTTCATGATCACTTTGAGGGTAACGAATTGTTCTTCTCATTTCATTAGTGAATAGATGTACAACGTGACTGTTGTCCGCATGAATGACGCGATCAGGGGGGACTGTTCCATTTAAGTGCGAGTCTTAATTACGGTTTAGCTCTGTGATCTTTGATGGCAGAACCAATTAAGAGTATATTCATTAATTTCGTAGTTATAGATTAATTAAGCAACTGGTCGAATTGAGCAAACTTTGTTCACCCAATTACTTAATTCATCTCTTAACTTAATTGCTTCGTTGGTTCAAAGTTTGCATGCAATGGAAGTGCCAGGGTTGACTGTCTGTGGTCAAAACCAAGACCCCCCATTGTTTCTTCTTCTTCGCTCTCCTCCTGTCCTCCTCCCTGCTATCTCTCCTCCCCAGCTCCCAACCCTTGTGCGGCCAACGGAGGGAAGGGCCCCTGCTCACACCTCTGCCTGATCAACTACAACCAGACCCTCTCCTGCGCCTGCCCCCACCTCATGAAGCTGAGCCCGGACAACCACACCTGCTTCGGTGAGAGCGCTCCCACAGGATGGCTCGTGAAAGCAGCTGCGAGCTGCGGTATAACGCCTGACCCATGCCTGTGCTCACTGCCTGGGAGTCTCGTTCTGCTCGATTTCTCTTCATTACGTGCAAGTGCTGCAAGTGCGATTGAAGACTGGGGGGGGGAGGGGGCGATGTGGGGAGGGCTGACAGACCTGTCCGCCCAGCAGGCGGAAGTAAACGTGTTCCTCATGTAAATGAATGAAACTCATTAGCCTGCTATTGTGGCCGTGTCGATGCAGTCCTGGCTTCTTTGCGGGTGGATCCATTGGCAGGCCAGACTCATCAGTCACAGTGTGATGAGAAGAATCGGGCTGCTAATCGGAAATGACCTTGCCCTTTGCTTCCCTGCCTGCGTGGGGAAAAGGCCATCAGTCTGATTGGCGTTGTGGCTAGCCAGGGAAGCAGCAATCCTGTAGGAAAGCAACAATAGAACCTCACGGTCACATCGGATTGGCTTATCAGTGTTTGTCTGAGATCAGCTCACCTGTGTCAGGAATATTCATCCTGGAGTTATGATTGAGTGTTTTTCAGTGTGTGGCCTGAGATCTGGGCCACCTGCATGATTCGTGTTCTGCTAACAGCAGTGCTGCTTCAGTAGGCCTGGTTTGTGCCCTGTGTTTTAGCACACTGCTCACAAGGTGCTTAGTATTCTGGTGCTTGGCTCCAATTATACGGCTGCAGGTCTAAGCTAAATTGCGGCAGAAGGCCGCAGAGGTGAAGCCGCCCATTAACTCGCAAAGACAGATTAATTTCGAATCGGTTCGGGTCTCCTGATAAAGTGCGCGGGCAGCTTATTTTCTCCCGCCTGGCGACTCTGTTAATTGACTCCTCGCTGCGCAGGCCTTTTTCCCCCGATTGCTGTTCGCATTCCGAGGTCCTCGTCTCCTTGCCAGACGGGGGGCGCCACAGGAGATAAGGCCGGCCGAGCGGAGTTATCGGCCTGCTCCTGACGTGTCCGCTCTTGTCCCCCTCTGGGAATGTCGCACGTCTCCACCTCCTTTTATAGCCCCGGCTCTGGGCTGCAGGTGTCGGAGAGCTTTGCGGCTCCCGGCGTCTGCTCCAGCTGAGCTCTCTGTCACATAGTGAGTTCGCCTATTTAATTAAGCACGTAATTGTGATACTTCTAATTGGGCTCTGAGATGTTTTACATGTAGCTGTACCTGTGAGGCAATGTTTTTGTGCTGAAGTGCAGCTGAAGAAAGATCCTGTATTTAAGACAATAATTAGGTTAATCACTGCATCATCGCTGGTTGGACATGAAATGTGATGAGCCCTAGACTCGCCAGGAATTTTGAAACCCCTGCATTTAAGCTGTGGTTAGATTAGGAAACACAGCTGTGTCAAGTTGCCTCTGACGTCTCTCTTCTTTACCCACAATCCCTTCCTTTCCTCCTTCCCGATTCTTCTGCTCACCCCCCCTCCTCTTCTTCCCGCAGAGTCCCGTCAGTTCCTGCTCTACGCGCGGCAGATCGAGATCCGGGGCGTGGACATCGACAACCCTTACTACAACTACATCATCTCCTTCACCGTGCCCGACATCGACAACGTCACCGTGGTGGACTACGACGCCCAGGAGCACCGCATCTACTGGTCGGACGTGCGCACCCAGACCATCAAGCGCGCCTTCATCAACGGCACGGGGGTGGAGACGGTGGTGTCCGCTGGTAGGAGAGCACGACGTCTGCCTCTTGTAGTGCTCACTCAGCTTTGTAATCGGGTCCCCGGACCTCAAGCACGGACCAGGTCACTACATGTCCTGCTGTCCATTCTTAACCTGGACTATCACCTGCGTCAGAAGTAGCCTAACTTTGTGCACACCCAGAGTGGAAGTCCAGCATGCTCCAGACCTGATTGTCAAACTTGGGGCAATTGTAGAGGTTGTGCTTTATCGTGCTTCGTTTGAGTGTTACCGTGAGAGTCATCCGTGTTCTAGAAGTGTTAACTCTCTCTAGTAATAATAGTGCTTCTGGACGCTCTCCACTCAAAGTGCTTTACAGGTAATGGGGAATCCCACTACCACCACCAGTGTGCAGCCCCACCTGGATGATGTGCCAGTCCGCTCACCACTTATCAGCTATCAGCGGGCAGGAGAACAGAGTGATGAAGCCAGTTCATAGATGAGGACTATTAGGAGGCCGTGATTTGGTAAAGGCCAGGGGGGAATTAGGCCAGGTCACATTGTGGTTAACACCACTACTCTTTCCCAGAAACGCCCTGGGATTAACACATTAGCTTAGATCCCGTTCTTCCATGCGCCCCGGCCTCGTGTTTTGTGTGGCTGCCTGCCTGTCGGGAGATGGCGGTGTAATCCGCTGCGTTCTGTGCCCTCAGACTTGCCCAACGCCCACGGCCTGGCGGTGGACTGGGTCTCCAGGAATCTCTTCTGGACCAGCTACGACACCAACAAGAAGCAGATCAACGTGGCCCGGCTGGACGGCTCCTTCAAGAACGCCGTGATCCAGGGGCTGGACAAGCCCCACTGCTTGGTGCTGCACCCCATCCTGGGGTAAGAGAGCCTGCCACGCTGCCCATCAGCCCCTCCTCAGCAGGAGTGGGAGTGCGCATGCGAGGATTGCTTAAACCAGTGCTTCTTAAACTGGGGGTACGAGACGTTCCAGTGTTTTTGTTTCCAGCGATTTTAAAGCAAATCACTTAAAACACAAACGAAGCTCAGGCACATACAGTAAGTACGACTAGTTTGCTTCATCAAACCTAGGTCTTTTAAGGTAAACCTAAAAAAGTGTAATTTTTCCATTTATTTGTAATTTTACGGCGAGATTAAGATAGAATTATGTATTTATTTCTTGGGTATATCTTGGGTTTCAAGAGCTGACCTACTTCAGCGATTTGTGTTGTGGGGTGCAAGAACATATTTTGAGAACCATAGGGGTGCAGGCTGCAGCACAGGTTCAAAACCACTGGTTGAAACTAATGCCTTTCTCTGGTTTACTAGGGACAACATCTCTGTTGGCAAGAAAACTGAAGGGAATGGGCTTTTCCCCCCTTTATGGCATTTTTCGAGGGTTTAGGAATTGGGACTTGCCATCAGCAGCGTTGACAGAGCACGTTGGGGAAAACCTACGGTTTTAAAACCGCAGAGAGCAGCAGACCGTCCGGGCCATCTGCGTCTCTTCTGCACCAGCTTAGCAGATGGCCGTTACTGTATATCCAGCATGTATATTTTATTTACACCCCCCAAAGTCTCCTCACAAGGCCCACTCTTGCCCGGCAGTACTACACATTCAGTCCAGCTCTGGCCTGGACTGCGCTCCTCCTCTCTCTGTCTCTCCCTGCCGGGCCTGGTGAATTGCTGACAACCGCAGGGGAAGAGGAAGAGGGGTATTTTCTTTTCCAAAAAATTGCTTCTTTTACTTATTTATTTATAAAGACCTACTTAACCCAAGGAATGTTTCCGGTTTGGGCTCCTTGGCGTGCAAAATGAGTAGCAGATGCTCGCTCGCTCCGTGTGTTGCTCAGAGCGAGGATGCAGGGAAGAGGCAGGGTGTTTGTAGAGGCGGGAGACGGGAGGCGGGAAAGACGGCTGCGAATAGTCCGTCGGGCACGGTGGCAGGAAAAGCAAGCGGATCAAGAGGCCGGAGTGCGGTTGGGATGAGCCAGCTGTGCCTACACTCTTCCTGCTTTCCCTGCACACGGCACTGAGCTCCCGCACACAGTACTCCTGCGGGAACGCCGCGCGCCCCTCCTAACCCTCAGTCTAGTGCAGACGGCAACAGGCAGCAGCAGAATGATTTAATTCCTTAAAAGACTCTGCTTACAAATAAACGGCAAATAAGCATTTAAGAGCATCTCCTAGTACATCTTTACATATTCGTACAAGTGACGTCTTTCATCCCTTTTTCCAACCGCTTCAGCCAGTTCAGGGCTGCAGGGGAATCGGAGCCCATCGCAGCAAACAGTGGGCATGATTCTCCCTGGACAGGACTCCAGTCGCAGGGCACACACACACTCACACCAGGGACATTTTTCCCAAAAGCCAATTAACCTCCCAGCATGTCTTTGAGCTGTAGGAGTTAACTAGAGCCCCCTGAGGAGGGGAACATGCAGACTCCTCACAGATTGTACTCCAGGTCCAGAATTGAACCCAGGGCCTCAGCAGTGTGCCACTCTGTAGCCCCTACGGGTGATGTATCGTTGTGTGCAAAACGTTTGTAAGTGAAACTTTGAATCTGTAAGTGAAAAGTAGTTGTCACATCCTCTGCATGGTAGAAATGTAAATTTGAATACACAATTAGTAATTCTTTCTAGTTTTGTAGATATTTGTAGATATACAGTATATATCCAGGTGGGGCTGCACATTGGTGGTGGTGGAGGGGAGATCCCATTACCTGTAAAGCACTTTGAGTGGAGTGTCCAGAAAAGCACCATATAAGTGTAAGCAATTATTAATTATTATAATTCTATTCAAAATAATAAGAGTGAATTGACACATGTAAAAGTCACTGTCAGTCAGTGCTTAGTCACACCATCATTGGCCGAAATCACAGCTTCCAGAAGTTTCATGTAGCCAGCTTTTCTATTCTTGCTTTTGGAATTTGATATATATATATCACTGCTGCCACGAACGGTAGGCTGGAATAAACAAAGAAGCAGCTGACAAGCCGAGCTGCGTGCTTGCGTTAAAGGCTTGCTGCTTCATTGAGCGGGACAGCGAGAGCAAGCCTGTGAGAGAAATTCATTGCCCACAGGTGATCAATTAGTGGGAGCCTCTCGGCTGAGGCGCTGGGGAACAGCAATCCGTGCCTCTAAGCTGCCGAGACGGGAATCTGTCAGAGATTTTGGCTTCACTCGGATTCTTGCCTCCCCGTATCCCAGTGGCAGCTTCGAACACCAGGCCCGTTCCTGTCTGGAGCAGGGTGGAAACCCTCTGGCAGGGGTAGCGTGGCTGGGGGGGGCGTGCGGCCAACTGGCTGATGAGAAGCAGCTGTTTCCGTTGACCGGAACGAGAGGGGGCGTCCTTCCTGACGCACACACACACACACACCGAATCCCACGCCCGCTTCCCGCAGTGTGACGCACACGCCGGCGTGCTTCACTCTCGCCAGCGCGAGGTTTTCACCCCCGCCATTGACACAGCACAGCGGGGACACACATTCCCGTCTCGCCCCTCTCTGTCTTCCACTACGCTTAAGGTTTTTCTTCTGTTTGATCTGGGTTTATTTTGGCAGCAGTGGTTAGTACTGTGGCCTCCCAGAGCTGGGCCCCAGTACCTGACCTGAGGTGCTGTTCGTGTGGAGTCTGTATGTTCTTCCTGGGTTTGTGTGGGTTTCCTCCCACTGTCCAAAAAAGGGTTGGTAGGTTATTTGGCTTCTGGGAGGAATGGCTGGAGATCTGAGGAGATGAGAATGTTGTGCCCACCATGTGTCCTATTAGTTAAAAGAATTTCTGATGAAGTTGAAGCTCACCTGGTTTACCGTGAGTCTCGCTATCCTGTAACAGGTCCTCTGTTGCAGTACCTCTTCCTGTGCCCAGCTGAGGGCAGCATAGTTACTTCCTGGCCTTGGAGGAGTGTGTCACAAATTGCTGTCGCAAAGATATCGGTGTCTTCAGTCATGGAGGAGATTACAGGGGGATTCGTTCAATCTAATCAAAATCTCAGGAAGAGCTGAGAAAGCACTTCAGGCCTAACAGTGAAACTAAGTGAGCACACAAGTGGAAGCTAAGAAGAAATGCACATAAGACTGAAAAGTGGAGGCATAACTTTACACAAAGGGTTGGGGTGCCTGGAACAACATAATTCAGCCATGTTCAAATGCATTCTCATCCTTTCAGATACCGTTGGATGAGATTTGTTCTAACATTATCGTACTTGCTGCCAAGTGAGTAAGATGGGGTGAATGACATTCTCAGTTTGTAGCCTTTCTCCTCCTCTTCTGTTGATAGAACATGTCTGTACTCTAATTCTAACTGTCCAGTGATCTCTTTCTTTTCTTAAAAGCACAGGATAGACATTGGGCAAAAGAAAGCTATTTATGCGCTTTGGCTTATATGGTCATCAGTATCTTAATTCTGATTCTTCTCTCTAATCTTCAAACCTAGTTTATTTAGTCTAGAGACCCTCCTCTCTTTCATCTCCATTCAGGACAGATGTTCAGCAGCTGTTCCTCTAGATGAGGATTCTGCTTAGGGAGGGGTGTTTGGGGAAGTTGTCTTCACAAAATTCTTACACAATAAGTTAATGCATTACTTAATGGCATTTTTCTGACAGTGGTTTCTTTTCTTTTAAGTGCCAAAGGAGGGACGATGTAAGGTTTTAAAATATTACATTCCCCTGTTGTTTTTTGTTCTAGAAAGCTGTACTGGACAGACGGGGACAACATCAGTAGTGCCAACATGGACGGCACCAACTACACCGTCCTCTTCACCAATCAGAAGGGGCCTGTGGGTGAGTGTTGGACCAGCCCTGGATGGACTTTCTGTACGTGCTTGCAGAAGAGTGCTGCTGTGAAGACGTGAACCTGAAGCTGACCATTCTCTTGTGCTGCGCCAGCACCCCCTGGTGGCTGACAAATGCAAATGACACTGCAGGCGCTGCTGTGCTGCACAGTGTCACTCTAGGCTAGAGAGCTGCCCTGCACCAGCAGCACAACCAGAACAGCTGAGCTTGAGCACAGAGACGACGTGTTTATGTACAGGTGCAGATGTACAATAAAACACGCCATAAATAAACTTCCTGTGTGCAGCTGGGTATAAATTGCAATATTATTGCAAGACCAGGTGCCTTTTTTCCCAGCATGGAGTGCAAAAGGTTTATCACATGTAATGAGCCTCTTATTGTTCTCCTATTTTTCATTTCGTTCTCCCCCTTCAGCCCAAATCTAGGTCATTGTTTCTTTTCTCTTTCTCCCCTTGTGCTTCTATCGCTTCCTCCCGATCTTTCCTTCTTGTCACGCATCCTGTTTTTCAAAGCCTTCCCTCTCTCCGCCAGGTCTCTCCATCGATTACCAAGAAGAGTACTTGTACTGGATCAGCTCGAGAAACAGCACCATCAGCCGCTGCCGGCTGGATGGCTCTGCGCTGGAGGTCATCGAGGGGGTGAGGGGGAAGCTGACCAAGGCCACTGCGCTGGCCATTATGGGTAAGGGAGTGGGGGAAGTGTTCCCATTGGCTGCTTTCTGAAAAGGGCCTCAAGCTGATTGGCTGCTTTCTGAAAGGGGGCTCAAGCTGATTGGTTACTGCATGAAGCATAGTAGTGTGCCCATTGGAGGCTGTGTTAGGAGGTAGTATCTTTTGGCTATTTTTACAGAAGAAGTACAGGTCACTGAAGCACAATGAACAGGCTCTGTGCCTGTTGTTTAACATCACTTTATTAACCCTTTACAATTTCTTGCATTAGGAACTATCATACCCCAGCTTGCTCTCCATGAGACACACAGACAGGGAGAGAGCCTGGGGTCAGAGCTCAGGGTCAGCCATTGTACGGCGCCCCTGGAGCAGTTGGGGTTAAGGGCCTTGCTCAGGTGCCCAACGGAGTAGGATTCCTCTGCCGGCTGCACGATTTGAACCGGCAACCTCCCAGCCACAGGCGCAGATCCTTAACAGAGCCTCCGCTCTGCCCATTATTGAGCCTAACCTCCTGCAATTGGCACTGCCCTCCTGGGTGGTGTGCTGTCTGTGCAGGGGACAAGCTGTGGTGGGCCGACCAGGGCACAGACCAGATAGGAACCTGTGACAAGAAGGACGGAGGGAACTGGAAGGTGCTGCGGAACAGCACGTCTCCCATGATGCACATGAAAGTGTACAACGAGACTGCGCAGCAGGGTGAGGACACCATGACAGCCATGCCTGGCTGCATCTTGATACTGGAACTCGGGGTCCAGAGAAAACCAAGGGGGATGTGGCTGCAGGGTGAAGCCCTAGAGTCCAGATTTTGGTGGTTAGAGACTGGGCTGACAGTGACTGGAGCTTCCTACGGCGCCAGGATTGTGTGTTTGAATTGGCCAGGGAATGCACAGTTAACAGTGTGTGTGATGGTGGTCGACACTGCTGCCCATCAGGTCTGATTGACGATACTAAATGTTCTCCGTCTGTGGAGGGAGATTGTTTTCCTTATTGCCACCTCTGGTTATAGGACTGGAGAAAGAACCAAATGAGCTTAATGGGCCAAATAGTTAACCTCTGCATTTGATGTTCTGATGCAGTAGCGATCCTACTGCCTGTGAGTCTGCAGTGCTGCAGTGCTGATGTGTCTGTCCTCCTCTGATCACTTGCGATGCAAATGGCGCCTCTCACTTTTCTCTCCCCTCTCCCCTCTCCCCTCTCCCCTGCCCTCTGGTAAGCGTTATAGGAGCATAACGGCTTGCGGCTCTAGATTCAGAGACGGTTTCTTCCCATAAAATGTCGGATTATTGAGCTCCGCCTCTACCACCGACTCACACTGATGTTTGTTTCTCGCACACTGCTTGTGCTGACTTGTATTTAAGTTGTATGTTATTGAACTCTGCTGTCGTTGCTGCTGCTGCTGTTCTGTGTTTATGTTTAGGCGTTTCCTTAATGTCTTTGTATTGGAGCGTACATGCAAATGAGCATTTCATGGCCTTGCACAAATGAACTGAACTGAACTGACAAGCACTTCTCTTGGAGCATAGTTGAGCTGGAGACCCCAGATCATTTGAAGAAAACCACAAGTATTTAGGAATAAAAACCATTCCAGGATGCCGTGGTGCGGCAGTAACCTTGTATTTTTCCGTGGATGCTGTGCGGGTGTCGGGATCAGGTGCCTCACTTTCACCTGCCCTCTCCCCAGGTACCAACCTCTGCAGCAAGAACAACGGGGACTGTTCCCAGCTGTGCCTGCCCACCTCGCCCACCACGCGCGCCTGCATGTGCACCGCGGGTTACAGCCTGAGGAGTGGGCAGCAGTCCTGCGAGGGTGAGGCGCCCAGCCGGCGGAGTGGACTGAGACCGACCTCCACTGGGCGGCTCGTCCACACCTGCCTGAATGTAACGCTTTTGGAAACCTTAACAAGGGCTGACCTCTGTGTGTTTCAGGTGCTCTGGTTTGATTCAAGGCATACTTAAAAGGGGAACTGCAACGCTATTTTCATAATTCGGGGATTAGAAAGAATTAGCATTGCTGAGTGCATTTCAAACCACAATAAAAGTCAAATCTACACAGTAACTTGTAAAACGGCCAATTTACATCACAAAATAGATTTGATTTCCAGGTACGCACAGCCATGTTCTGCGATTCAGAACACGGCAACAACACTTCCGGTGTTGCAGCTGTATGACATTGTAAACAAGCAGGCTGGTGAATACATTGCTTTTAATCCAATAGAAATATTGCATTCGAAATATTGTTTTAGATTTCGAGATGGTTTTGGAGACAAATACTACTTACTTGTCAACTCTGCATGCAGATCACATTGGAACATTTCTGTGGTGAAATATCTGTTGCACAACCTGTACTTATTCACTTACACATCACAGTACATTGGTCATTACAGTGACTAGTGAGCAGGAAGGGCTGCATCACAACATGGTTCATGGGAACTTGAATGCGAGTTTGTGACAGCATGGCGACTTGCAGTACTTTCACAAAGTTCACGGTTTTGTGCTTAATTCGGAATTTGTAATTTTTTTCTAGAATGTCAATTCGTTCATTTTGTTACCGAGATTTGATAACCCGTCTGAGAAATTGGGACTGCAGTTCCCCTTTAAGGACAAAACTGCGAGGAACCTAATTTGTTAAAGAAAGTACTACTAACATCATGGTTTTTAAAAGAGGCAAAGGTCGTGATTATGAAGCAAAATAAATTGCAAAGAAATCAGGTGTTGTGCTACACGTCTCTGCTTCCTGCCTCTCCCACTCAGCCACCTCATGGAGTTTTCTGTCCCTCTGTCTGTGCCAGGTGTGGGCTCGTTCCTCCTGTACTCGGTCCATGAGGGGATTAGGGGCATCCCCCTGGAGCCCACTGACAAGTCCGATGCCCTTGTGCCAATGTCGGGCACGTCGCTGGCTGTGGGCATTGATTTCCATGCTGGTGAGTGACTTGCTGTCCCCCCGTGTCGTTCTCCAAGGCTGACTGCGACCGGTGGAGTTAGTTGCCCAAGGCTCTCTCCCTCTGAGTCTTACTGGACGTCCGCAGGCTGGCATTACTGAGCGTTGCACCTCTTCTCCTATCAGTGCTGGTCCTGCTGTATCCAAACTTGTAGAGTAGTGCTGCCCAGTCCTGTCCTAGGGGGGTCAGTGCGTCTGCAGGGTGTCCAGTCTGGTCCCAGGGGTGTTCAGTCCTGGTCCTGGGGGGCTCAGTGTGTCTACAGGGTGTCCAGTCCTTATCGCCGGGGGGTCAGTGTGTCTGCAGGGTGTTCAGTACTGGTCCTGGGGG